TGGAGAGGGCCGGGGTGGCTGACGTAGGCGTCCAGTGCCGCGCCGTCGCGCCGGTGCGTGCTCTGGATGGCTAGGGACCTCCTCGCGGTGAAGAAGAAGAAGTGGGAGGGTGCTGGTGTAAAACGGTAGACTAGCGAAACAGTACCGTAAAGCTCGTAGCAAATGCTGAGTTCGTCGGGGGTGTTCGTGCATTTTTACCGACACGCGCAGGCCTTCCCATTCGCGGGCCGTTGGCCATCTGGGCCGCGCCTCCGCGTGGGCCGCGCGCCTGGCTGCTGTCGCGCGCGGGCGGGATGACGAGTTGGATCGGGCCGCGCGTCGTGGGCCGGCCAGGGAGGTTTCGGTTTCTCTATTTCATTGTATTAGAAATTGTTTATCTATTTAGGTTATGAGCTGAACTTCAATAATTAGTAGTAAATTGCATGGTTGTCCAAAAATTGCGAAACAAAGTTTGTTAGGTTCGCAAAAATGTCGCCTACCTGTTAGTACAGTTGGTTCCCCATTAGTGGTTAGGATGGTAGGCTCATAAGCTTGAAGTAGAAAGCTTAGCGGTATATCGATCTTTAATTGCAAGATTTGTTGTGGTAAACCGGCAATAGCTTTAGCTTTGGAATCGTGACAGCAGGTTCCTTAGGTATTTATATACTTGCTGTAAAAGTGGTAACCATAGAGCGAGTCGTTTAATGGCATAGTTATTACCCTTGCTTTCGAGCAAGTATCGTAAACTGGCATTAGGAGTAGGAAAATCTATAGTCACCGTAAGAATGTAGGACACGTTCATGCTTGTTAGTAGTGCTGGTACGTAGCTTAGACTTTAGTGGGCAAATCTCACTTAGTAGTTGAATAGAGGTACTTTTGCATTGAGAATTTCTATTGCCGTAGTGTTAACCATTGCATCGTCATTTCATGTAGATCACGAACAGGTAGACTTCGTACCCGTCTGTGAGACGGAGTACGACGAGGTGATCGAGGAGTACGAGGAGGAGCTCTTCACACAGGAGGGAGCCCAGGAGCTTGTTGGTACTAACTTTGCTGACCCGGCACCTGCCCAAGGTAAGCCCCGGTGCATAACCCCTATCTTTAAATGATCACTGAATATATTTATATGATATGCATTTATATTATAGGCATTTTATGGAAACTACATGCATAGATATATCCACCTGAGTCCTACTAGTGCAGGTCGAGTAGCTGCTATGCTTAGGATGTCGGTAGCGTGAGTAACCTGACGTTACTCGCAAATAGGTGATTACACTATGATATCATGATGAAATAATGGAAAGGAAAATGGTGACCAGGCAGGGATGTGGATTTGGTACTGGTGGGTGTGAGGGGTTGTGTCCTGCGGCCAACAGGGCACAACCCGGTTACACTTTTTCCTTGTCTGTGTCGATTAAGGACCGGTCGTTGCATATGACTCTAGGCAAGTCACAGATTATTGTCCCGAGCACATACTTGGGTATGGGCACAGGGAAGGTCTGTTGCTCTCTTGTCGCGAATCCGGCTCTTTTCGGACCGACTGATGGGAAGAGGAGGTGGTGGAGGTCCTTGCACCACACTGAGTCCGGGACTCAGGATGTGGGGGCTCGGAGTCCAAGTTTGGACGGGGACCTGGACACCCGGGACAGGAGGGTGATGGGTTAGCCCTGCTTGTGCCTGGGGTACAAGCGGGGCATGTGTTTCGGGGCACCCAGCTTGGGCACATTGATTCGCGAATCGCCGGGTTACCCGGTACGGCTTGTCTGTAGTTTAGCACCGTAGTAAGAACTGGAAGTGGAAAAGGAGAAGAAACAGTATCGATTGCTCTACTCTTGCTTGAAAGTAGCACAGGTGCTTATATAGATTGACTAGATAAAAACTTAATACGGCTGATAATAATAAAGCATCAATAAGGACTCACTATTAGTATTGCTTTCGGCTAAAGGAAACCAGCAACCATAAAGCCTAGCATATTCCTTGGAGTCGGGAAAGTATTCCCACTGGTCGGATAAGTCTTGCGAGTACATTGTGTACTCAGGGTTTATTTACCCCTGTTGCAGGTGATGCTTGAGGAGTACCTTGTGTGGAGGATTCTTCTGGTGGGCTCAGACGAAATCCTCGTTATCTTATCGCTAGATGTTATCTTTTAATATTTCGTTGTTTATCATTCCGCACTCTATATTTGGTATTGTAATAATGTACTTTTTAAGAAACTCTAATGTATGAGATGGACTTGTGTTGTAACTCATTTTCATTATTGGATCCTTGGGAAAAATGTGGATCTTTCGGGTTCTCCCTCGGGGTGTGCCCGACGAATACCGCCCGCTATAGCTTGCTTTCGAGGTGCTTAGTGTCTGGTGGAAGACGAGCGCCTCCGTAAGTGTGCTATTTTGGGCGGTTCTGCCACAAGGAGGGAGCCCCAGAGCCATTTGGTGCTGACCTTACTGACTCGTCGCCTGCCCAAGGCAAGCTCCGGTGCATAACCCTTATTTTAAATGGTCACTGAATATATATATGATGTGCATTTATGTTACAGGCATTTTATGAAACCACATGCATAAATATATCTGTCTATGAGTCCTACTAGTACAGGGTGAGTAGCCGCTATGCTCAGGATATCGGTAGCGTGAGTAACCTGTCGTTACTCACAAGTAGGTGATAAATATGATCACTCCTGGTAAAAATGTGGTAAAGGTAAATGGTGATCGGACAGGGATATGGTTTGGGTATTGGTGGGTGTAAGGGGTTGTGTCTTGCGGCCAACAGGGCATAGCTTGGTTACACTTTTTTCCCTGTCTGTGTCGATTAAGGACCGGTCGTTGCATATGGCTCTAGGCAAGTCACAGATCTATTGTCCTGAGCATATACTTGGGTATGGGCACATGGAAGACTTGTTGCTCTCTTGTCGTGGGTCCAGCTCTTTACGGACCGACTGATTGGAGGCGGGGATGATGGAGGTCCTTGCGGGGCTTGGAGTCCAAGTTTGGACGGGGACCTGAACACCCAGGACAGGAGGGTGATGGGTTAGTCCTGCTTGTGCCTGGCGTACAAGCGGGGCGTGTGTTTCGGGGCACCCAGCTGGGCACATTGATTCACGAATCGTCGGGAAATCCGGTACGGCTTGTCTGCGGTTTAGCACCGTAGTAAGAACTGAAAGTTGAAAGGAGAAGAAATAGAACTGATTGCTTAACTCTTGCTTGAAAATAAAATATGTGCTTATATAGACTGGCTAGATGATAACTTAATATGGCTGATAATAATAACATAAATAAGGAGTCACTAGTAGTATTGATTTCTGCCAAAATAAACCAGCAAACCATAAAGCTTCTCATATCCGTTGGAGTTGTGAAATTATTTCCACTAGTCAGATAAGTCTTACGAGTACATTATATACTCATGGTTTATTTACCCCTGTTGCAGGTGATGCATGAGAAGTACCTTTGTGTGGAGGATTCTTCTGGTGGGCTCAGACGGAATCCTCGTTCCTATCGCTAGATGTTTATTTAAATTTCGCTGTTTATCATTCCGCACTCTGACACTTGGTAATGTAATAATGTACTTTTTTAAGAACTTCTAATGTATGAAATGGACATGTATTGTAACTCATTCTCATTATTTGATCCTTAGGAAAATGTGGTTCTTTTGGGTTCTCCCTTGTGGTGTGCCCGACGGATATCGCTCGTTGTAGCCTGTTTTCGGGGTGCTTAGTGTCTGGTGGGAGACGAGCACCTCCGTAAGCGTGTTATTTCGGGCGGTTCTGCCACATGAAGCTAGGAGGTTCATCAAACCATTCTAATTCTTCTTCCATATTCTCAAACATACCATCTTCTCTCCTAACACTTCCTCCGTATAAAACTCTAATACAACAATCCATCTACAAAAGCATTTCAAGAAACTTCATCAATTCATCGAAATCGTCGTAAGTAATATCCATAATAATATTAATATCTATTCTAACTATAACTATACTAATTAATCTAATATTAACATCTATACAAGGCTAACTACAACAACTAATGTATACATAGACTCACTAGGGGAGTACCTCGCGGCAGCGGCGCTCATCCTCGCGGCGCGCGGAAGTCGCGTGCGCTGCAGTGAGGGCGGTGGCGGGCGTGGCGCTGGCCGGAGGTCGCGGCGGGCGGCTGGAGGGGGTGGTGCGCCGGTGTGCGGGCGTGGCGGGAGCGGCGTGCAGCCGCGGCCGGCGGCAGGCGCGGCGGGCACACGTGGCGAGCAGGGAGGCGGGCAGGCGCGGAGGGCGCCAAGGCGCGGCGAGCAGGCGGCTGGACGCGGCGGGCGCGGCAGGCGGGACTGGGCCGCGGGCCTTTTATCCGGCTCTGCCGCGCCACCGATCAGGGCGAGTCACTGCCGCGCCAAGATCGGTGGTGCGGCAGACCTTGCCACATCACCGGTCAGCAGCCCCCTGTCTTCGACACGTCATCATCCCACCGCGCCACCGTGCAGGCAATAGGTGCGGCAAAAAATGTTAGTTTTGAAGAAAAAAAATAGTGTTAGATTTAAAATTAATTTAAAGAAAGTGTTAAAAATAAAAAAAATTCACGAGGTACGTACCCTCACCTCACCTGCCATGGTCCATCCATGTCGTCGTTGCTGCTGATGACATGTCTCTTTCCTCGGTACATGCTCAACACGATGGTGTACCCGCGGGAGCACGAGTGCCTGCGCGAGCTCCGCCTCATCACCCAGCAGCACACCTAGTACGTACAACAAGAGTTTGCTATTAAAATTGCAAGTTGCAACTACTACTATATTTGTTCCTTCCTTTGTGAAGGAATCAATGAGATCATATCGAAATACATACATACAACAAGAAGTATACATATAAATAAATGGAAAAAGGTTAATAATTCCTAATTTGGGCCCGATCCCGAACAAGCCGAAGCTATATCTTCTGATTCTGATGATGCGAAGTCACGTTGAATCTGTGTCCCCAAACCCCGACACGCCGCCGCCGATCCACGAGCGTCAACAAGCCAGTCCCGTCACCGCCGATCCCGGCGATGCCGAGCTCCCGCGATCCGTCGTCCGTGATTGGCTCCATGCCCAAACTCCGCTTCGATCTACCTTCGATTAGCTGCATCTCCAAGTCCAAGGGCGGACGCGGCCCAGCCTGCAGCAGCAGCAGCACCATGAGCATCTTTGGGCCGATAGAAGTTCCGGATAATTTCGGCGCGTTCAAACTAGATGATTATGACCGAGTTGTTGCCAAGATCGACAAGTTGTACCACAAGAGCAAGGCGGGGATTGTTGGGATCTCCAAAGAGTATCTGGAGAGCGGATACTGCTGCTGCTTGGGCCTCCTGGATCCCGCAACAAACATTCGCATCAACGCCTCCATTGCAGAGTTGGCGGCGGGCGGAGGAGGCGCTGAGTTGGCGGGCGGCGGCGGCGGAGGAGACATGGCGGCCAAGCGGTCGCTGAACGGCCTCATCGTCTTTCTAGCTTGCCTCTTCCCCTGCCTTCCCAACGGGGAGGCCCTGGCGTACCTCGACGCTGTCGACGCCGACCCCATGGCCGCCGCCGCCCTCATCATCACCAGACGCGGGGTCAAGTTCTTCTCGTTCAGGAACGCCGCCGCCGCCATGGAGATGGCCCTCAGATGCGCAGCAGTAGCCGCCAAGCATCCAGACTCGTCGCTACTGGTGAAAGGGTGGACGAACGTCTCGCCTTGTCTGATGGAGCTCGACCGTCGTCTATCAGGCCTCCGTCCTGACTACGGAGATGTAAAACGCATTCTTGGGGTGCCATTTGCCCAGGTCGACATCACAGGGGCGTGGACACTCGCCAATGCCAGGCTTGGACGACGACGACGACGCTGCAGTCTTGGCTCAGTCTTCACAGATCAGCAGCTCCCTCCCGTCCGCGCGGATCCCCAAGGACGAGCTGACCAAGAAGTGCCACCGCGCTCTGGTCATGGGCGGCTACTGCTACGGCCCGCTGCATCCCGCCGCCAACATCATCGTCAACACGGTGCGGTACGAGCAGACCTTCCCAACAACAGCAAGCCTGAAATTCGAGTCAGCCATGATCAGCACCGAGTTCCTGAGCAGAATCGCGGCGCGGTCGCTCTACGGCCTCGTCTCCTTCCTGTGTGCTCGCTACCCGTCCCTCACACCTGACCACGCCATGCAGCGCCTGCTCGTGGCAGATGCCAACTTGCAAGCTGCTGATCCCGATCTTCTCTGTGATCCCAGCCTTGATCCCAGTCTTCTCTTTTATACGCGTTCGCCTAGTTACCAAAATAAGCTGAAGCTGGACTGGTCTGGTTGTCCGATAATTGGATCATCAGGCAAAGGCACTGAAGTCAAGTTTCACGAGAGAGCCGTTCGGAAGGCCGCTGTCAGTATCCCGGAAGCGTATGCTGCTGCTGCCACCGCTGCGTTCCACCCCAGCCCACCTGCGCAGAGAGAGTTTCTTGGATCGCCGGCGTCTGTGTCAAATCTCTGGGCTGCCTCATCAGTGTTTCCTCTGGATGAAGGTCACCAGCTCTCCAAGGACGAATTTGATTTCCTCTGCGGGCACTTGCTCACGTGCGCCCCCTCCTCTGTTGTGGGCATGTCGCACCTGCAACAAGAACCTGAACCTGAGCCTACGGGGGTAAGCAAGGCAGAGTACGACAAATATTTGAGATGCAAGAACAGGGAACTGCATGATGAAGTCAAAACGATGGTGGTTGCTGCATTGGACAAGTTCAACAGAGATAATGTATGTTCTTGTGCAAGAATTTTGTTTCGAGACAACTTCATTCCATGGGTGCATTTTGAGGGCTATCAGCAGGTGTAACGGCATCAAGGTGTTCCTGATCCATTGCTTTTATCATATTTCTTCTACCATGTGCTAAAATTTCCATATAGATTAAACCTTGAATTTTTAGTTTGATACAATTTATATGCACATTGTAAAATCTCAGAACAAGCCAACCACTTGGAAAAAAAGCATTATCTGGTCTGTAACAAACATCATGACCCTACTCACTTAGTTCGGTTGCATACTATATGTTAGCTTACTAATCGCTGGTACATATTTAGCTACACTATTAGAAGTTTGAGATCACAGAAGTACCAGTAGTGTCATTTGTTGTTCTTTTACTGTCCTACTAGGTTGAAAGTGATGCTTTGATCGTTTTCTTTAGGTTTCATGTTCAGTACTGTGCATGGAAGTTCTTTTGCTATTCGCTCTTTTCATAAATTCACCTAGCATTTTAGTACTGTCCCATGAATGTGCTGCATAGATTGATTATAATGGGAAGTATATCAGCTCCTGCAACATTAACCAATATGAAATCCGTGTATAAAAACAGCACATGAGAGAAAAGCTTGGATATGGCTGCAGATGTTATTTTTTCTGTGTTTGAGGCGACCCTGTGTGGAGGTTTATTTTCTGCTGATGACATTATTGTCAATGCATTCTATGGCATGCTTCTCGGCAATTTCTTTTGGGTTTTTCTTTGTTTTAGAGCTCACAGTACCTACACTGAAACTTGAGCGCATTTAGTTTGTCGCAGTCCCTATCAATGTAGTTCCAGGGCCTACAATTTTTGTTTGGTGATGTTGTTGATATATTGACCAATCATAAACCTAGAAATGTGAATCTAGAACTTTATTTCGGAGGTTTCATGTTATTATTTTTGCTGACATGGCCCTTAGAGACCTAAATGCTTACTGAATCATTATTATTATGAGTAGGAAAGAAGACGCGGGCAAAGAAGATAAGAGTATGCAGTCAATGGGCAGGTAAAGAACTTGCACAGACACCTCCATTTTTTAGTGATGCAAAAGACTGGAATGTGCTTGACATGGTTATGTTTTACCAGCAACTGTGCTTTTGGCTTTTTTCGCCAACCAGCTAAATGTTGGTTTAGGTTTATGCCTACAACCTGAGAGGATAAGTAGGCTGCAAAAAAAGTAGTTCAGTTTTCTTACTGATAAAAATGTTCCTAAATACATACGGCTATTTTGAAATGGGAGTGGCACACGAGGATAGGGGGCAGCACCGGTGATGGCTACCTGGTAAGCCGATTCCTGCCATTTGTTCTAGGTACTTGCATGTTCTAAGAAATGAAGATGAGTTTACAATTTTCAATTATCTTTTTTGTGAAACATCTTCAGCTATGTCTTTATTATTGTCTGGGAGTTTGGTTTTCATGCACATCCACGAGTCCTTCACTTTTGAAAATATGTATTTTTTATTTGTCCAAGTCTGAGACTTCATCTGGAATGCTTGCTTAGCAACCTTACCATCTGGCTCTGTTTTCTCAGCTATTAACAAAGATAGAGTTATAGCTATCATACTTGGACATTGGGTATCCCAACTATCGAAGGTACCAGATTCCATAACCGTGGCGTGGTGTGCATTTGAATTGTTTTATGTCAAATATTTTTTACACTCAAGGTTCCATTTGACAAATAAAACCGCAAAGTTATCACCCGTGCATGGTCGCACGCAAATATTATGTCGCACTTAATATTTTAATCATTTTTTTTTGTTCTTAGCTTGGCTTAAGAACTATATATTATTGATGTCCTTATTCATGTCACTTAGTTACCATGGGTTTACTTTCTCTATTATTGCAATGGATTTAATGATTTGTTTCTACGGCTCAATATGCACAGGCCTTGTGCAGATGAAACACCTGGGGGAGCAAAGGACTTTTCTATCTTCCAGGTTTGTTTAAGCTTCTGCACAAATACAATCCCTCCCCTTTTGCCTTTTTTTCTTTTTAAATTAAACTGACCCTCATATATGTTTAGCCATATATAAGCTAGCCCTTGCTTATTACCTTGGTTGTATCATGTGTTACTGATGATGCCTAATTCTTATTTGCTCCATGATGATTTTTATCTCCTTGTCTTCAAACTGTCATGGCTTCAGATTCATATACATCATACATGTGAAACAATACTAATCCATTTGGTGATGCTTACAACATGTCTTTTCTGTTTGCAAAATTAAAGTGCGAGATTAATCCCCAAATTAAAGTGCAAAATTAAACTGTCTTTTATGTTTGCATGTCCATTTATTGATGCTTACAGCATGTCTTTTCCTGTATGAGTAAGATAGAAATCCCCAAATCTTGTGAGATTGAATGTATGTTTATTGGAGGGAAGTTTTTAATATGTGTTAGATCAGCTCGTATCAAGTTGCTGAAACAAATTTCAGCTGTTTTAGATCAATGAATAGCATGCAGAAACAACAAAAAACTGAAAGTACTGAATTTGCACTGTTTTTTTTTCTATTTTACAAATCTGCTCTACCCTGTTTATTGTATTCTTAAATTACTGAACCAACTGCTACATGGCTGTAGGAAATCATGCAGTAAACTACTGAACCTGTTTGAATTGTGGCTAGCATCGGGGTGGATGATTAATTGAGAAATAGTGTTGGTAGGCTGCCACATCCATTTTTTGAGTTGAATCTTTATGCAGAGTGGTGCATAAAAATCCATTTGTAGCCATGCTTCTGTGCAGGACAATAGTTACCCGGCATGTGTGAGTTTTTTGGTGTGAACCTGATGCTTCTGTGCACCTTTGAGTACATTTGTGCAGGAGAATAGTTGGTCATGAGTCATCTTTAGTTAATCTCAGTTCTGTTTAGTTAATTTCAGTTCTGAACCTGGGACTACTGTATCTGAACCTGAGACTATTGTAGAACCTGAGACTATGATCCTTAACTGGAACTTTGTTGTGTCTGTCCATTTTCTTATCACTTGCGTGCAGTGTGAATCTACAGAGGTGCTGCTTGTGATCTCACACGTTTGAATGCTTAGTGTGTGAACCTGGTGCTTGTGTGAAGCTTCCTTGACATGTGAAGCCTTGTTAAGTATATACAGGAGATTGAATGCATTTGTTCTGATATAATTTAGTTTAAAAATAATTTTACTCAGCCACATAGTTTACATGGCATATTGGATCACAACGTCTTGCATACATTAACTGCTCCAGCTTGTCTTTGGAAAGAATGAAATGAAATCCCCCACTGAAAGTTAGTTTCATTAAATTAAAATGTTATCACGATCAGCTAAATAGTTCTTAAACCATGCTTGCAATGACATAACAGGCATTGACCTTTATTTTGATGATTTAAATAGATTGTTCTCCAGCCCACAACTTTGAGTCGGATCGAAGCTGGAAACTTCATTAGCAGCGCTAAACATCAGAGCAACCTCAGAAGCTGATGCCACTTTCCTTCGCTTGCTCGTATACGATCGTGGATTATAAGCTGGAACAGTATTTTTCTCTCACACCAAACCAGCCAGCAGTAAATAATCCACGATCGTTTACGACGAAACGAACAGGCACTGATCATCTGCTACTGACTTTTGCTATGTGCGCTATGTTGTGTTGTGCCATCTCAGAGACTATACCTCCTTGGTGTTCTATCCTATGACTGATTCGTGTAAAATTATGTACTATTTGGACATCAGGGTCCTGGTGTAGGACTGTTTCGTGTAAGATATAAGTACTATTTGGACATTCTCTGTATCATATAATCTATATACAGTATTTGAACATGTCGCAACTGTTTTAGAAGTTAAGCCTTCTATTCAGTGTGCGTGTTACCGTGTTGATGGGCTAACTGTGGACCGAGTAATGGGAATAAATGCCTCTATTCCATTAACCAGGTAGAACCTGTCATATTTATTCTTTGCCCACATTATTCCATTTCTCAGATAAAACTGCGGCCATCACTCGCGCGCCAATCGCTAGTACATACCACTATATATAAGCGCGTGTTTAGTTGGGTGAAGTTTAGAAATTTGGCTACCGTAGCACTTTTGTTTTTATTTGGCAATTAATGTTTAATCATGGACTAACTAGACTCAAAACGTTCATCTCGCGATTTCCAATCAAACTGTGCAATTAGTTTTTTTTCGTCTATATTTAATACTCCATGCATGTATCACAAGATTTGATATGATGAATACTGTAGCACTTTTTTGAATTTGGTTCGCAACTAAACACGGGCTAAAAGCTGTCGCTGCCGGCTGCTCGCTCGCCCTCGTCGTTGACGGATCGAGGCGGCGGAGTGTGCTGTGCTACCACTCACTACTACACACAAATCTACCCAGATCGAGCGAGAATCTTTCCTATATAATCCTGCCTATCCTATCTTCATTCCATGGATAGGGATGGGTACTCACGACGACAGGGAGGCAACGGCGGTAGAGGTTTGAAACTATGAGTATATTACATTATTATACATACATTGGACTCCAAATTTTTTTATCATAAATAATTCTCAAGTCATTCAAATTTCAGGCAGCGGCGGCGGCCTCTTTGAGCGTATTCGCACATGTTGCTGTTTTGGGAAGAATCGACAAGAACAAGCTCCTCCAGGTAGTAACGTACATTTTCTTAACACACAATATATCTTCTTGCTTCTTTGCAAACAAACTGCAATATGACTAGCTAGCTAGCTAGTGGTTATATACATTACATTTAAATGTTTTTTTTTTTGCAGCACCTCCTCCCCCACCTGTGATCATCATCGAGGACATGAACATCGTGAGACCGACATTCGAATCCATGGGTCGTGATTTCTTGCACCATCCCGACGAGGCGTGGCACCAAGGTCTTCGTCTTCCTCCCGGTATGGTCGGCACGCCAAACCCACCCATGGGGATACCATATATACCACGTCCACCACCCCACGCCCCTCAATCCGAACCCAGCAACGATTCTCACTGATTCGGGCAAATGAACAAACGGAATGGAGTGAAGCATGTATATTTCTAGCCTCTGTTGTGATTCCTTCCCCACAAAAAGTAAGTTCAATATATCACAATATCAGATATCAAACTGATAAGATCAGATACTACACTTAGCCAAAAGGCCGAGAAATGTATGAGTTGCATCGGTTGCCCTTGGGTAGTTTTATTGCCTCCTATGCGTTACAATTCTTCTCCCGCGGCTGTACGGTGCAAAACTAAATAGGATTACCTTATAATATTATTAGCAGCGACGCCATATGCCCGAAGAGGTGGATTTCTTTGAACGGGGCGATCGGGCTGCAAAGAAACTCATATGGGTCGTTATTGGGCCGGATCGTTCGTGGCCCATGGAACTGAGGAGAAGAAAAGAAGGAAGGAGCCGGACACAGCCCAGCTGTTGTTTTTGCCGGCGTGCTCCCCATCCCCCTCCCGGCCCCGGCAGACCCTGCATGGCCGACTGCCCGAGCTTCTGCCTCTCTTTCTTTCGCGAGGACAGATCGGAGGAAGACGAAGAAGAAAACGATCCGTCGAGGAGGAGAGAAGCATTACCGGGCTTGGGCCTATTGGGCTGCATCTGTGACTTCGCGTGATGGGAACCTCAGGTGGAGATGAAAGGCCACTTCCTCGAAAAAAAAGGTGGAGATGAAAGGCTTCTGCAGTTCTGCGTGTTTCACCTGTGGACGATTCAGTTCTTCACGGACTGGTGACTCCTCCGCATCCGGTCGTCTGACTGCCTTCGAAGCGATAACCGATCCTGTAGCCTGAATCTAATCGGTGATTGCTCCACCAAGGCTGCTACTTGATCTTTACTACCAGGGCCCCGCCTAAGATGCATGACAACAACGATTTTGCTACAGCAAGGGTAGGTGAAATTGAGCCATCTAATGATAAATTTGATTCCCTTGCTGTTGTAGTCCGGCAATTAGCTGATGGTTTAAACTTCGATTTACACCATAGTAAAATGGTAGTTGTAGGCTTGAAGAGATACTTTTGTATGGTTTCGGGTCCAAGTATTCTCTAATAGAATTAGAACCCTATTTATGAGACTGTAACATGGTTTATGACACATATATCGATATTTTGCCACATGGTTATCTTCTTATTTTCTATATGATCGTTCTGTCACACAAATTAGGAGTACAAAATTCGCCATAGGAGATTATTATCCTAGATCCGCCACTGTATATAGGTATATACTATACTTGTATGAAATGAAAGAACAACGACCATAGCATATGCGCATATGAAGATCAAGCCAGAGGAAGAATTTGGATGCACTCGCCACAGCGATGTGTCCTTGTGACAAAACTTTATTCCTCTACTTAATATAGAGGTGCGCAGAAAAAAATGTATATTTATTGAGTTTGGAAATAAACCTCGTTTATTAGATAGTCGAGAAATTAAAATTTGCCCTTGAGAACTCCTACTGTGCACGCAACTCAGTGCACAGCCAATGATGCAGTAGTAGGCGAGCTTGTGCCCTCAAGGACAAAAAAAAAATCCATGTTCATCTTAGATCGTCCGATAAAGCTGGGATACGTGTCCCCAACCAAAACATCGATCAGGCTCAATTGGTTGGGTTATGGTTCACCCACCTAGGTTTAGTTACAAGGGTGCTCAAGGTTTAACGATATTGTTTTTTAGTTGTAGGTCTCCTGGACTTGATCCCATGGGGACCCTGTTCTTTGGGAGTTTAAGGAAGGCTCAACGTGCTTGCTCGCTGACAGCGGGACACATGTGCTTATGAAACATCCATTGATTCAGAATTACCTTCTAGACTTTGCTTAGTGTACCAAAAAGATGTTGGGTGTAGTCATTAGTTGGCTATAAAGTTCTCCTTTGCATTCAAATTTGAATTCACATTCCTTTTGGTAGTATCTAGATTGTGAATTCACTTACATATGTAGTCGTTGTACCAACAATTCAATTTTGAATTTCTTTATTTGGCATAGAGGGAGACACCTAGGACGGCCAATCATATGTGCAAGTTCAGGTATCTACAACCCCCACCCCTCATCATTAAGAAAAAAAGAATCAGATACTACCAACATGTCCAAAAATATCTATGTGGGCTTTCGATGAGTCCAGGGAATAACAAACATGGTCTTGTGCTTTTTTAGAACATGAATATATTATGGACGTGTTTGGTAGAGCTTTAGCTCCAACAAAAATAGCTCCAGCTCTAGCTTCTCCGATGAACAGTTTTTTTTTTAGCTTTAGCTTTACTGGTTAGAAAAATGTTCGGTAAAATAACTTCTCCTAGCTGTTGAAAAGAGTAAAATGTCCATCATACATTTTTTCCTTCTCTCTCCATCTTTTATTCCCTCCCACACCGCCACGCAGAGGAGGAGCCCCGCACCAAAGGCCAAGAAGAGCACGAGCCCCACACCGGAGGTCAATAAGAGCACACCTAGGATTCAACGTGCCTGATGCATCGATGTTCACATCGCTACTAATCCACGAGCAGGTGTGGCCCTATGTGGCCAGAGCTCCTCTCCCGACCCGCATCGCCGTTGCGCTACACCACGCCGGCCTTGCCTCGTCAGGGCAAATCGAGCATCTCCTGCTGGCCAGACCTAAGTTATCAATTGATGAGGGGAATCTCCAAAGAGAGTGCCGGTCAAAGCTATTCTCCCTGTTCGCTTGATCGTTACTGTGGCTTATAAGCCGGCTGATGCTGTTTTGTTGTGAGAGAAAAACACTGTATGATGACTGATAAGCATGGCTGATACGATCAAGCGAACAGGGTGATTATTTTCAGCTTCTCCTCTCTCTCCTCGCTTCTCTCAACGTGATTCGTGGGGAATCTTCATTGAAACAGAGCAGCCGAAGGGCGTTTGGTTGGCGTTCATGCGAAGCTGCTCACGAAGCGCTACTAAACACGTCCAAGTTCGAAGCATTCTTACCCTTTTTCTAATGGAGAAATCATCATTATCTATACATAGAGGACTAGTGGAGTAGGGCGTGTAGCGAGCACCCAAAGGCCCTGTTCGGCTGGTGCAAAAACCAGCTGGAATTTCACTGTTCATGGATGAAAGTTACTGTTCATGACTGATTTTTTCTCACAAATTCCTCTAGATTCCTTCAAATTCCTCCAAACGAACAGGGCCAAAGAGACCAAGCTTTTAAAATTTGAGCCAAAAATTTTGTGGCATCCAGCACACCATTTCTATTGACGACGGTAAGGTTTTATATATAATTATATACACAACATTGACAACAAGGAGTCGAGGACGATGCGGCCAGATCTCCTTCAAGTGCTTCTTTTTTGTTGGTATGTGCTGTGATTTGGCTTGAAAGTGATTCGTCCATGCAGAGACTACATACATGCCTCACTAATTTTTTGTTGTTTTGTGCTGATTTGGTCCTCTTTGTGTGTTGTTCTTGATTCGAATGTGTGAATTGGCTGGAAACAAAAAGGGTCGGAGTTCGGTCGTGATCGGGACCGAAACCGAACTACCCGAGACCGAATTTCTCGGTCTTACATTTCTAAGTAACAGATCAGTTCACGATTTCTGGTAACCGAAGTTTCATAAAAACCGAGGAACCGATCAGTTCGGTTCGGTCTAAATGAACGCCCAGGCCTAGCAACGAAACACGTCATTACCCTTTTTCTAATGGAGAAATCCTCATTATCGATATGGAGTAGGGCGTGTAGCGCGCACCCAAAGAGACCAAGATATTAAAATGGGAGCCAAGGAGATTGTGGCATCCAGCACACCATTCCTATCGACGGCGATAAGCAGCCTGTTCGTTTTGGCTGAAACGATCGTGGATTATTACTGCTGGCTGGTTTGGTGTGAGAGAAAAATACTGTTCTGGCTTATAATCCACGATCGTTTACGACCGAGCGAACAGGCCGAGGTTTTATATATACACACAGCATTGACAGCAAGGCTGCAAGGCATTGGGTTAGCAGGGCAGGGTATAGCTGGGGTAGGCGGCGATGGATCCTGGCATGGCGACTGGCGGCGGCGGCAGCATCCCGGACGTCCACAGCAACACCGACAGCAGCAACAAGACGCTGCTCAAGAGCCAAGCCCTGTACAAGGTAATGTAATCACGCGACAAGCCGACAACCAGTACAATTAAGGTCGCTGACCGAATGATCATGGCACTGACGTCGTCGCCGGCGGCTGATCGCCGTGCGTGCAGTACATCCTGGACACGACGGTGCTGCCGAACGAGCCGGAGTGCATGCGCGAGCTGCGCCTCCTCACGGACAAGCACGAGCGGTACGTACGTGCTGCCCCGGCCGCCGACGCAGCTTTATGCAGAGCTCCTGCTCTTCTTCTCGCTCTGTAAGACTGTAACCTGTGTGTGTGAGTGCGATCGCACATCGCAGGAGGTACATGGCGACGCCCCCCGGACGAGACGCAGCTGCTGCGGATGCTGATCAAGCTGAGCGGCGCCAGGAACGCCATCGAGGTGGGCGTATTCACCGGCTGCTCGCTGCTGGCCACGGCGCTGGCGCTGCCCGACGACGGGAAGGTGGTTGCCATCGACGTGAGCCGCGAGTACTACGAGCTCGGCCGCCCCTTCATCGAGAAGGCCGGGACGCACAAGGTGGACTTCCGTGAGGCCCCGCGCTGGAGCGCCTGGACGCGCTGCTCGCCGACGACGCCAACCACGGCGCCTTCGACTTCGCGTTCGTGGACGCCGACAAGCCCAACTACGTGCGGTACCATGAGCAGCTGCTCCGCCTGGTGCGCCTCGGCGGCGCCATCGTGTACGACAACACGCTGTGGGACGGCACCGTGGCGCTGCCGCCCGACGCGCCGATGTCGGACCTGGACCGCCGCTTCTCCGCCGCCGTTCGCGACCTCAACGCTCGCCTCGCGGCGGACCCGCGCGTCGAGGTCTGCCAGCTCGCCGTGGCCGACGGCGTCACCATCTGCCGCCGCGTCGTGTGATCGATGACATGACACGACATCGCCGGCCGGATTCGATTAGCCGTGCGTGCGCGGCAGTGTAGATGTGAATAAGGTGGTCTGGCCCTGGGCGTCTGGGTGTTGCAAGCTGAGAGCAGCACACGTTCACGTCCTGCGCCTCGGCCTTTGATCAATGCATTGCTGCCAGCAAATTGTTATCATAATATCATCACGGTCTATTAATATAGCTGCCCAGCCCAACAAAGGATTCCAATGTTGTTATGCACAAGCACAATTTCCGATGGGTTACTATGCACAATCTGCAGGTTGGGGCATGCCAGTTTCTGCAACTCCGATCAGGACCAGTGCCAACATCAAACCCTTCTTTTCTGCTGGTCACAATTTGGTAGCGGCAGAAGAAGGCAGTCCGGCCCAGAAATAGGTGCTTGGATAAACTGGATAGTACTAGTAGGATCCGACCACATGAACTTATATCAAGTAATGGAAGCGACGCCGAAAGGAAATTGCCCAGAACGGTTCAATTCAACGGTAGCTCGTTCGGGCACTGGACACCAGGGCTTGCATTCATAATATTCCCTTTGTATGACCTCCCTCCAACCCTCTATCCATATCTTCGTAGATGGCCTGTTGATTTTCAATTCAAATTATACTTTTAATTTTCAGTTCTCTTATATTTGAGGTCGCTAATGTAATTTTGTCATTGCTGGACTATATATAGAAAAAGTTATGAATTATCCTTTTATAATAGTATAATGCAGTAGCTGGTTCTTGGTTGTGACTGAAAATTCAGGCACCTGAAACATTGCAACTCCCTTTAATTTCTGGATGGAGAACAAGACTGGAATGCAAATCGCAATCCATGTATATATCAATTGCATCGTATGTATATATTCCGTTGCTTATTACACTCCACTGGAAATTCCGTTATGCTTCGAGCCCTAGTCATCATGGATAGATATATTCTTCTAGACCAAATAATGACGTAAACGAATAATCACTTTTTCCCTGGCTTGATTATTCCATCTCGTGTAGATACCTCTTTATTATGATCATTCATCAGTATACAGAATAGTAGGATTCTCATCTCCTCCACTTCTGCACACTGCACTTGCCAAAAGTGATTAAAACTTTGCTCACTTTGTTTCTTATACCCAGTGTGTCAACATTCAACAACATACTTTATATACAGTACGTGGCGGAGCCAGGAATTCCACGTAGGAGGGGCCAGCCAAGTACAATCATAATTGAACTAAATAAAGTGATTAATCAAACAAAAATGATTTTATAAATTATCGCTAAGTTACCTTGATCATTCCTCACTGACGCTACTACATAAAAGATTTTACGAGGTGGTGCTATTTTATTATCTGAGGCGGGCAGCCGGGCAGCCGCCTCCATTAATCGGTGGCAGGGCCATCGGCCGAGCGTCCGCCTCGGTTAATGCTTAACAGAGGCGGACAGCATTAGGCATCCGCCTCCGTAATGTAGATTGATTAACCGAGGCGGTCGACATAAGGCAACCACATCTGTTAATCCATTAACCGCAGCGGGCAACTTAAGACATCCACCTCCGTTAATTGATTATTTTTGGGACGTAAATCGATTTACAGATCCGACTCGGTTAATGATTGCAACAAAAATAAATCATAACATTTTTATATGAATTCGGATGAAGACAAACTTTATATTAAAATTATAGCTCTCGACGAAATTTACAACTTTGTAGTTCAAAAGTTTTTTAATTAAACAGTTTAGGGTCCCAAAATATTGTTGTAAGTACACAAATTTTGAAATTTAAAATTTAAAATTATCAAATGATCTCGGATATTGACATGGTCTATACAAAAGTTATAGTTCTCAATAGAATCTATAACTTTTTAGTTGCAAAGTTTTTAATTTAAAGATGTTTAGAGTCCCAAATATATGTTCGAAGGTTATAGATTTTGATATTTAAAATTTAGAATTCCTAAGCGATCTGAAATGTTCACATAGTTAATACCAAAGTTCTAGTGGCCGACCTGATCTACATGCTTGATATTGACAAGTTTTTGATTTAAAGTCATCGAGAGTCTCAAATATGTGTTTGAAATTCACATGTTTTGAGACTCAAATTTTTGAATTTTTCAAACTATCTTTGATGGAGATACATCCTATACCAAACTTGTAGTACTTGACATGATTTAAAACTTTATAGTTAAAAGTTTTTTCATTTGAGTTCATTTAGTAGCCAAAATATCTAATATAAGATTACGAAATATTGATATAAAAAGATAGCATATTTATTATATATAGATACAAATGAGTGTGTGGTGTAGTGATAGAAACAAAAGTGTTGATCAGTAGGTTGTTGGTTCGACTCTCCAAAGTCTGATTTTTTTTTTTTTTTAGGTTTTTGGAGAACATTACGTTTTCTGGAGAACATTAACGGAGGCGGGCATGTTAAGACGCCCGTCTCGGTTAGGGTTTTTAGGTTTTGGAGAACATTAATGGAGACGGGCACGGTTAATGTGATTAGCGGAGGTGGGCACCTCCATAGGTTATATTAACGATGACCTTTGATTAGATGTGGTTGCAATGCCCGTCTCCGTTAAACATTATGTAGTAGCGTGATTGCCTCATAGGGATAGGTCTCTTGTAGAATTGTAGTTCGTAGCCTGGTTGGGCTCCCTGTTCGTCGCAAACTCACTGTTGCACTGTGCAGCTATGCGGTTGTGCGGTAGGGAAGAGTGAAGAGGCCTCGAGGATTAGGGATTTTTGATTTCTGAATTGGGGAATCGATTTAGCTTTTAAGGTACGAGACTGAGAAGACGAGGAGGCAAAGGCAGCGATGAAGGGTGCTCCGTCTCCGTTCCGTGAAACTTGACTCCTGGGTGCCGAGCGGACGAGTTGCGAGGTTCCTGGATCCTGGGCCTCACGACACTAGCAACCAGGTCCAACTAACGCAAGCCCATGTAAGTAAAAGCAAGCAATCAAATTAATTGGATCCAACAGAAAGAAACTATCAGCAACCTTGAGGGGAGGGGCATGGCCCCCGCTGGCCACCCCCTGGCTCCGTCAGTGGTATATATATTTGTTGCTTTTGTGTGCAGTACTGAAAAAGCGGGCCGGACGTTTTAGAATTTCCAGTAGTGTATAAGAGGCAATTCAAGCTGGGAGCATCTTGAGTCAATGATTGCATGTAAAAGTGACCATCATCAACAAAGGAGAAATTTAAGGGGCTTGCATTGGGCTACACAGATGGAATGTGACTAATAAGCTGGTAGCAAATTCGTCATATATACAAGGAATGCAGCAATAACTGGTCAACTGCATGCAGAACTAGGTGGCAAAACAATTGCAAATAGATGCTGATTAGGGGAAAGCTGCTATAGTGTTTCATCAATTAAAGAGTTTGGTAACAATGACTGATGAGGAGGATGATTAAACGAAGTTAAACCTTGGATTGTTAGTAAGTCTCCTGGCATGGCCTTGAACGGTTATTACGTACGTACTCGATAGAATCGCAGTACGATAATGATGCCCCCGAGTCTCCGGACGGACGAACGCTCCGGAACGAAACGCGTGCTCCTGTCTGCGCGCCGCTGCCGCCGCCCTCACCCATCCTCTATGTCGTCGCCGCGCCGCGCCCCGCCCCACCCTCTGTGCGCCGTTGCCCATCTCCGTGTGGCGTCGCCTTCTACACACCGGTGAGCTCCACGCCGCCGTGATCATATCCGCACCACCGGTGAGCTCTGCGCCGTTGACCTCCACGCATCGCTGTTGAGCCTTGCGTGCCGACAAGCCTTCGCTCGCCCAAGCAGAAGATGTTACTCTAAAAGCCTATGTTGCAAGCCCATGTTTCAAGTGTCTCATGTGTTTTTCAGCGCATGTTGCAAGTGCTTCAGACGCATGTTGCATGTGTTGTGTTTATGAATGTTGCAACAATGATATTGTACATGTTTCAATAGTAACCTGGACATGTTTTATCAGTACATCGCCGATGTTGAATCCAACTTCTGGGCGTCCGGTCGCTAGCTACTCTGGAGTAGTTAACAAAGAGGATATGTATTTGAGTGGTTGGAATAATGTTGGACGATGCTTGTTGTACTTGTTCTTATCGGCATATATGGTTCAGAACCCCTCTCTTGTTTTATTTGTGTTGTTTGTTGTGGATAAATAA